TGATACATGGATGTAAAACAAAAAATGTACAATTTTCAAGCAAATTTCAAGTCAGTCTGGGAGAGATAATTGAATACAGAAAAAGAGACAATTGATTGAGTCAGGACAATTTACAAAGTAGCTAAATAAAAATCCCCAATTCTGAAAATGAATTATTCAATTTCTCCTTGTGAACCTCACCATTTCTGTTTGATCTATTTTTAAACTTTATTTGTAGGATCAGGAGTATAACATTTTCCTGGTGACTAGTTTTATTTATTTTTTTATGCTTATCTTTTCATTTTGATTAATAAGGTTCACTCTAAATTGAAATGTATCTGAGGAACAGCTCCTATCATTTAATATTCTGCAGGAAAGAGTTTTCATCCGTTTTTTAGAGTTATTTAATTTCTTATTATTATGTCTTAAAGTTGCTATAGGGCATGTGCACTCACGAGAGAGAGAGAGAGAGAGAATCAAGCCCCCAGGTCTGGAACTCCAACCATGGCTGGCCGTGTTGGAGTCCAACACCTCAACCACCATGCCACCTGTTGTCCCCCATCCTATTTTTTTTTAACCTTAGTAGGGATCTTTTTGATTTAAAATTGTGTCTTACAAGTTACATAAAACAAATACATAATGTCTCTAAAGCTCAAATAGTCTCTAAAGTTTTAAATGTGAGTTTAATTTGGTTGAATTTATCAAAATAGTTAAAATAAGTACATTACTGCTGTTCTCTTGTTATTTTATTACGCTAATTCTTTTTGTTGTATTTTTTTTTTTTTACTGGTTTTTTTGGATTGATAAAAACTTGTGTCTTCCTCTACTGACTTGGAAATTTTATTTTTAATTTGCCAGATGGTACATGCACTAAGTGGAGAGAGAGAGAAAGAGAGAGAGAGAGAAAGCCCACTATGGGAGATAGCCATGCTGCAATCCCTTCTCCTCCATTTCTCCCTCCTTTTGTGATTTTGGGCATCCATGCATATGTGCCCAACATGTTTTTCAAGCCATCAGGTCCAGGACTCAAATTGTGTTGTCAATCATGTGGGATCCAGGTGCCTCAACTGCAACTCTACTGGCTGGTCCTGAGTTGGGAATTGTAAATTGCAATTTTCTGCCATAGGATACCACTAAACATCTAAAAAAAATCTGTTTGATCATCCATTTTCTTCATGCAGTCTATTATTTTTTAAAATTTTGCTAGGGAGCATGTACACTCACCTCACAGAGAAAGAGAGAGAGAAAAATAAAAACTGAGCAAGAGTCCCCTATAGTGGATGGCCATGCTGCAATCCTTCTTCATTCTTCTTTCAGAATTTTGGTCATATGCACACATGCAACCCAGCATGTTTCTCAAGCTGCAGAGTCTGGGACTCAACCATGTGGGATCCAGCTGCCTTTACCCCACTATGCCTAATTGGCCCCTCCTGCAGTTTTAAGTAACTTGATATCAGTAGTCTCATCCTAACCTAGGCAAAAATATGCTCTAATTAATCTCTTATACTGTTCTCCTTTATCTCACCTCTCAGTTCTCGAAATTCAATTTTATTTTTTATCATCTTTTCCTTTAAAGAATTATTTATTTGACTTTATTTATTATTATAAATTTGCTACAGGGCACTTCCCCTCATCAGAGAGACATAGAAAAAGAGGGAAAGTGGAACAGTGGTTGGCCATGTGGGAGTCCAGCACCCTAACCACCACACCACCTGCTGGACCCTATTTTTGTCATCTTTGTTTAAGTCTGATGTACAGTAGGCTGAACATAATGTATACAGCTTGAATATCTTTGAATATGTACACATGCATGAAACCTTCTTCCTGTCAAAGTTTTCCTTGTGTCCATTTTTAGATCCTTCCTTCCACTGCCTCCTTCCTTTTCCTCTCAGCTACTGATCTTTCTGTCACTATGGGTTAGTTTTTTTTTGTTTCCTAGAAGTTTATATAAATGGATTCATATAGTATGTATTTTTCTTTAATTTCAGACTTTTTTTACTTAGTGATTATTCTGAGACCCATTCATGCTGTAACTTCAATTTAGTAGCTCATTTGCCATAGGACAGAGAACGTTGGTCCACTTGTCAGAGAGAGAAGAGGCAGAGGGAGAGAGAGAAAGTATCTCTCCCATTGCAGCATGGTCATACTGTAATCCCTTCTCCTCCATTTCTCCATTCTGTCAAGTTTTGGGCACGCACACACATGCCCTATGTATTTTTCAAACCATCAGGGCTTGGATTCAAACCCATGCTGTCGATCACCTGGCATTCAATTCCCTTAACTACTGTGCTATTGGGCTGGCTTTTACATTCAATTCTTAAGTAGCATTCCTATGTTTAACCAAAGTTTGTTTACCTACTTGAGTTTTTGGCAAAAACAAATAAAGCATTAATAAACATTAATATACAAGTTTTTCGTGTGTGTGTGTGTGTAGACATATGCTTTTATTTATCTTAGCCATATATATCCAATAACAGAATTATTTAGAAGATGTGTGTTTAATTTAATTTAATTAATTAATTAATTTATTTTTTGCCATAGGATGTGTGCACTAGCTGTAGAGACAGAGAGACAGAAAGCAAGAAATCACACCTCAGTGGGGATGGCCACATCACAATCCCTTCTCTTTCATTCTCCTCTCAGGATTTCAGGCTTGCTCACATATGCATCTAGCATGAGTTCCAAGCTACCGGATCCAGGACTTAAGCTGCATTCAGCCATGTGGGAGTCCAGTGCTTTAACCACTATGCCACCTGTTGTTCCTTTATTTGCTTTTTTAAAGGAACTGTCTAACTGGTCAGCTAAATGATTTAACTAACTATGTTTCACATCAACAATGAATGAGTTTCAGTTCCTTTACATCTTTGCCAATACAGAACTTGACTTATTTTGCCTTTTAAATTTAGCCATTGTAATAAATGAGCAGTAGTGTCTCCTTGTGATTTCAATTTGTATTTTCTTAATGATAAATTATGATGAGCATCTGTTCATGTTTATATTTGCCACTCATTTATATTCTTTGTTGAAGAGTTTATTTAAATCTGTTAGACTTTTTTTTGAAAAAAATTAAGTTGTTTGATTTCTTTCAATACATTGCATTTTGAATGTATTTTATGTATTCTAGGTACAATTTCTTTATCAACCATGTGACTCACAACTATTTTCCTAAAAATATGTTTGTCTTTTCTTGACAAACCAGAGTTGGCTACATAGGAGTTCAGCAACATAACCATTATGCTTACTGCTGGTCCTTGAACCCTTTAACTTTGTTCTTTTTCAAAATTGTTTTATTCTTGGGACCAGCAGTTAGCATAATGGCTATGTCGCTGGACTCCCATGTAGTTGACCGCAGTTCAAGTCCCAAACCCGGCGGCTTAAACTCACACTGGGCGTGTGTGAGTGCGTGCCCAAGATCCCAAGAGGAGAATGGAGGAGAAGGGATTGCGGCATGGCCATCACCCCCTGGGGGATGATTTCTCACTTTCTATCTCTCTGTCTCTCTCTGTCTTTCTGGCGAGTACACGTGCCCTACAGTGAAAACCTCTCAAAAAAAAAAAAAAAGTTTTATTCTTCTCCATGAGGGAGTCCAGCACCTTAACCACTATGCCACCTGTCAGCCCCAACAGTCAACAATCTTGCCTTCTTCTGGACC